GATCAGAGTGATTGCATATCAAATAAAATGTACATTAGAAATTATTTATACATGATATATATCAAAACATGATTCATTTAAGTTCTACTTTAGTAGACAATATAAATGGGTCCAAATTTCCACTGTTTTTGAGCATCGTTTTCCGATGTAAACATACTGTGACGTCATAATGAAATAGGGCAATTCTTTGTTTGCCAGCGTAATCTCTCGTGATCAAGTTAGTTAAGGCGCTTTACATTTGTAGCTCTAGTCGAAGGGTTAGGTTTAGGGAAAAGGACAGGTCAGGCTATAAAATGTTAAATTCGTAATTCTAAGTTAAAATTTGATAAGAAAATTTTTAATAAGTTAAGGCGTAGCTAAAAAGTTCGAATAAGTCGATAAAAAACTGTAGAAAAATATACAAGTGAAAAAAAGTATGGACCCCTGTTCGCTTKTTAGGTGCTTCTATTCGCTTGTTAGTTTGTTCTATACGCTTGTGCCATATATGGAATACGTACTACAAACCCGCCTCCTATAGTCTATGTAGAACGAGAATACACACGTACAGTGACGTAGCTAAAAGTACGAACACTTTCAAAAATTCAAGCCATACAGAAATCACAAATTACTGTTTTTTAAACAGAAAATAATTTCTGGTTTTCATTCTGTTAGAAACCACGTGGGATTGTACTGCCAATAAAGCCAAGTGTTTGTGTCAGAATAGTGATTTTATGAAATAACAACATGCATGCGTCTCTTCTCTTAAAAGCTGTGTATTTGTGGTTTCAGCAAATCGATGAGCGCGTTAAGTAATGATTGATTTTAAATATGATCTGTATGGATCAGTGGCTACAGATGTGTGATCACTAGTTCTAATATTATAAATTGTGAACTCAGGAGGAGCCTCATCTGAACTTAAATGCTATAGTTGTGGTACTGGACTGGTACCAGACGTCCCGGCTGGGGAATGCAGTGCCTCGAAGGAAGATTCTGTATGTCTGACGTCGTCGGGATTTGACCGATGCTTTTCGAGATTTGTAACAAAGACGCACAAATATAGCAATATAACCGAGATTGTGCTGTTCAAGGGATGTGGGCTGAGTGCATTTTGTGGGGTAATCATTATGTATTTCTTGTTATCTAAATAGTCATGAGTGTTTTACTGCAATGATCATATGTCGAGAAAATTACTGACGTGATTCAGTTACAAAAAAAAGAAAATCAGGTCGATTGAAGAATT